CGATTCTGCCTCGCGAGATTCGAATTCAGAACCTATCAGTCTCACAGGCGGACGCTTAACTTCTAGATCATTGAGCCGGCAGGCATCCAATCGTGTTAATGTCTAACTTCAACTAATTCAAGAAATTGAGCAACACAACTACCATTGTCTTCAGTGAGTTACTATCTCACAACAGACCTAGTTGAACTTTACTGGTTACTGCTTCTCACTAGAACTCCAAGAAATACCTCTTGAAGCCACCAGTCATTAGTGAGCATATATTGATTCATATCGGAAGGAGTTTTTGTGGATAATATTGTAATATCATTAGCTGAGATCATGAGTCACTTGAAGTCAATTGAATATTATTATCAACCAAAAGATTATATAATGTTAATAATGATTGTCAATAAGAGAGCAGATATTCAATAAGACAGATAAGAATAACCTTTTTGAAATCTTAGATTATATTCTGATTTTAAATGACACATACAAGCAGATTTCACTTGATATCTTGTAATTGTAACTCAACTAGTACTTATACCATTATTTTAACATATACAGATTACTATCACAGTCTCATAAATGTATCAGTATGGAGTAGCAGTGATTGTTGAGTTTGTGATTGAGATTATGAATCGATTAATGTTAGACTACCATTGAAAACCTGGAAACACTGGACGACTGTTTCACCCTAGTATAGAACTTCTCAGCAGTACCGTTTAGTGTTTTTAGGTTTTCAATGGTGATTTAACATTGATCGATTCATGATCACAATCATACATATATGATAAACTGTGTAAAATCTCTATCACACATCAGTCAATTATCTCTATTATAATGAGTATTAAGTTAGCATGATTAAAATTTTTGGTAAGATAGTCACACCATCACCAATGCCATTTGCATCTCAATCATAATGTATGCAATATGTAAATGCATACAATCCTTATTATTTTATTTAGTGTTACTGGAAACTTTACTGAACTATTTCAAGACTATTCTACACATCCATAATCCCTATTGAGGGTGAACTCAGTAACTTCAGATTTCATAATCGGTGCAATTCATTTGTCCACCCATACACTAACTAATGATCTAAAAATTTCATGATTGAACTTGGTAGCCTGTCAACCAGTTATGAATAACGTAGAACCTGGGACATTTGTGAATTGGCTCAAGTTACCACGTCATATTAGCACAGTGAGATAAAATTATCAAGGCAAATCCTAGAGTAGTAGAATTGGTAACAGCATTAGCAGTAGTAGAGAAGATTAGTTACAGGAAAAAAATAAGGAGATTTTAACACTTATGTTCTTAAAGCTAACAAGGAGTAAATGCACCTACATGGTTGCGAACGATTCTAAACCATATCACGAAAAATCTGCAACCACTGATTACGATAATCAGGTGAACTCCAACCAGGTAATCCACATTTATTAACATGGGTCAGTTCAATTTTTAGTGACTTGATAAACTGATGCCATATCATAATTCGACCGCTAAAACCTGTCTTCCAACTTACTCTTACTTCAGACTGTTGTCGAAGTAGGCAATGGTTGAGCATGTGTTGCATATACCCCAACACCAAAATCGATGAAGATTTACGACCTTATTAATCGAATTACCATTTTTGCCCAGTACTTTATGTCTAATCTTGGCAAGATTGATATATTGGTCCGAAAATACACCTACAAATATCCTCTGTTCTTAATGGTCATTTTCCACACCCGTAGAACAGAACAGAGTAAACAGCTCTGTAGTAAACTCATTTCTTGGTTAGCGGATGGATATCTCACCTAAACCAAAAGTGACAAAAACTCTCAAAGATCAATTGAAGCTTTTTGAGGTACCAGCGCGTTAGAGATAATAAGAATTCCAAAATAATAGAAAATTCGATGCACTTGACTACTTCACTGAATATCAATAAATGAAACATTGATGCAGATCAGTTCCGAAGCAAAATTTCACATTCTAATATCGTTGATTAGGACTGTTAGAAGAATGCATCATATCACCGTCTTCACCAGACAGACCTATATCATCTGCATATTGTAAGTCAGCAGTTAAATCTTCCATCTACAGATATACTCGTAATGTAGTGGATGAGAATATAAGTGAGGACAATCGAATGAAATGAAATACAAAATTACAGAACATTTTAGTAAAATCTGAGAACCATACATTGAATGCTTCAATTGCAAAATATCAATTAGTCGTCTCAGATTTCATTCTTCCTTCGTATCCACATCAACCATTCTCTATTCTCGTTCTCTTTTCTTCGATCTTCTTAAACATTTCCCGCCAAATATTTCACTTTCAACTGACGATACATATTACTTAAATCTATCGATATCAGTAGTACACATCACAATAGTAGTGTAATGAATGTTGAATATTAATAAAATCTAACAATCAGATAGTAAATGATGAATTTTCAAAATATCCATCAATTGTCTCAAAATGATTCAGATTTCATTGTTCTTGCATTTTCATACAAATTGCATTCTGTCTTCATTCTTTACTATTCGATCATCTCGTCTCTCTGCTGCCGGACATTCTGTTCATGACTCACGTCATATACTACTTATGTCTATATAAATAAAACACACCACAGTAGTTCTTCAAGTTTCACCTTAATAATTCATATTCACTGAAGTCATATGAATATTTTTCTTATATTTAACATTAAAGAAGAGTTAAATACTTTAATTTAGTTATAAGAAATAAACGTTTCAAATGTTTATCTATTGAATGTTTGTTTTTCTTTTATTCATATTTGTTTTAATGAATTATGTTTATACACCTGTATTTTACATTCTGTGTCATTATTTTATTTTATAATCAGAATTAGGATTTATGGAGATTATAGTAATTATAATAGGTAAATTCATAAGTTGATGTAAGCTAGACTACTATTGAAAACCTTGAAGTACTGGATATCTGTTTCGTCTTAGTATGGGACTCTTCAGCAGTGCGTATCAACGACCATGCACGCCAGATTAAAAACTTAGAAGTTTCAGTTTCGTGAGCAAATGCTTAACCTTCAGAATACTGAATCAGCATTAAACAGTGTTAATGTGTAACTTCAATCGATCGATAATCTTGCGCAACCATTTATTGATTGTTTGAGTTAGATACCTGCCTTTATCCGACAGGGATTGGACTCTAGTGGTCACAGATTCTAACTAGAACTTCAGAAAATCCATCCTGAGGCCAGTCACCAGTATCTACATAACGGTTGTGATGAGAATGGAGTTTGTGGAGATCGTAGTGATTTTAATATTTGAATTTATAAGTCGATCTAAGTTAGATCACTGTTGGAAACCTGAAAGTAATGGACAATGGTTTCGTCTTAGTATTGGACTCCTCAGCTATTCATGGATCGATAAAAGTTAGGCATTTACACCTTTGAATGCCGACCTAGTGGTCTAGAGGCTCCTGTGCTTACGTCCCGCGTGTGGGATAGTGAATGCATACTCCTGAAAAGTCCCATACTAGAACAAAGCTGCTGTCCAGTGCTTTCAGGTTTTCTATGGTGGTCTAGCTTAGATCATGTCATGAATTCAATCAATTAAATCATTATTTATTATTATTCATTTAATAAATGTACAATTGAACTGTTCGTAATTAGTGAATATCATATGTCATCGTTAAAATAAGATCTTCAGTATACGTTTTATCATGAAATAACATGAACTGATTAAATAAATTACTTACTTACTCCTGTTACTCCTAATGGACCATAGGCTGATAACCAGCACTCTTTAACCCACTCTGTCCTGGGCCTTCCTTTCTAGTTCATCCAATTCTTATTCATTCTTCCCACGTCTATCTCCATTTCACAAAGTAATGTGTTCTTTGGTCTTCTTCTCCTCCTTCGACCTTGAGGATTCCATGTGAGGGTTTGTCTCGTGAAGAGCCAGATCATGTATGAAGTCTAGATCATCCAGCTGCATCCTAGCTGTCCACTGTATTCCATGTTTCCCCTCAGATGTTGACGTCTTTATGATCTAGTCGATCACCAGGAAAAAGAGAAAGGGTGAGAGTAAGCAATCTTGCCTGACACTGGTCGTTACTTTGAACGAGTATGTGAGCTGTCGTCCATGCACGATTTTGCAGTTTAATCCATCGTAGGAATTCCGTATGATATTGACTATCTTCTCAGGCATGCCGCAATGTCAAAGAAGCCCCCACAGTGTTGTCCTATCCAATGAGTTAAATTATCATTTGTAAACATTCTTAACTTGCTGTTAATTCACAAGGTTGTAAGATAATCATTTGAAATGAACAAATCACCATGAACACTACCTAAACGGTTAATTATTATTTAGTGCTTATTAACAATGAATTATGAGATGGATTACTTAAAATTCTAGTAAGATTCCGTTTTCATAATCAGGTCATTTAATAGGATAATAAAATAGTTAGACAACTGACAGCAAACGTCTTAATCGATTCTAAAGGTTTAGATTAATATTTCTGTCTGATAAGCAGTATTTTTCTACCACTACTGATATCCACAAATATAAGTAGTATATAACACCAATCAGAAATTAAACGCTTAGTATTAGAAGGTTAGAAAGATCGGATCAATAAGAAGCAGACTGGATAGCAATTATTATGACAATGAATGAACAATGAAAGTTGAGACAATTGATGGAGTATTTGAAAATGAAGTATTGAATCTATGATTTTTCACGTTTCACCAAAGAACTCTGTAATTGTGTATTGAAATACGTTCGGTTGTCTCCACTTGTGTTCTCGTTTAGTACACAACTACTACCAGTCTCATGCACGAGACTGATAGGTTCTGGGTTCGAATATCGAGAGGCGGGCTCGTGAATGCGTGCTGCTGAGAAGTCCCACAACAGGACGAAATAGTTGTTCAGTGTTTCCAGGTTTTCCATTATGGTCTAGCTTCAATTGACACATAATCTGAACTATTAAAATTAAATAAAATCATTATTGAAATGAATCAACCTTAAATTTTTCTACGATCCCTTTTTTTCATTGTGTAGGCATCAGTTTATCAAATAGAATGGTCACCATTTGTACCAGAGATATTTCTTTCTTGTTCTGCTGATATGACTATAAGATTATGGCATTTAGATTATCAAAAACCATTAATTACTATTCAAAGAAATATGGTAAGCAAAAAAATATTATGTAATCATTTATATGATACTCTTTGGTTTATTGTACATTGTTTTTTGTAATATATTAACGATTGAATGGTTAATCGATCTCAACATGGGTACAACATTTATGCTTGCATAATTTATACTGAACTCCACCTGAAGCCCCTCTTGAGCTACTGTCAATTCCAAGCCCGAGTAAAGGAGGAGGGTTGAGCATGGGGTTAGCGACCCCATCCTGTAGAAAACTAACTCGTTAAAAAAAAACGCTAACCAGAATGCTGGTCGACGGCCTATGCACCATTGGGAGTAACAGGTGCAAGTAAGTAATTTATGCCGAGTATACTGTATATTGCTTTGCATACAATATATATATATATATATATATATATATATATATATATATATATATATATATATATATATATATATAGGCTTTAATATAGTTCCAAATTAACTTTTGTAAAGATTTGACAGTGTACAATTAAATCACCATGTAATTACTGCTAATAATTGGAATAGTTCAACGTATCATTAGGTTTAGTTTATTGAGACTTGTGTTACACATACATAATCACTAACCACTTTGATATGTAGTTCTGGTTATGATGAGAGTAGATTGTATCAAGTTATATAAATTCAACAACATCAGTTTGCAAGTTTATCGACTGTTGGACTGAACCTTCTTTATAGATTCATACATCATTGTTTGATGGTGATAATCAATTTGGAGTTACTTATTTATATGCAACAATAAAGAAATGCATGTTAAACTGGCATATTTTGCTAGTGATGACTAAAATTTTGGTAACTTTACATGCTTCAAAAGCATCTTATAATAAACAGAAACTATTCATCCTTAACTTATTGTATGGTTGAATAAAATTGCCAATAAACCTTGAACTCCAATTCTGTACTATTTAATGCTGGTTAAAAAAGTGAAATCTTGATGCTTCCTGTAGTATTTCAACCTTTATCACCTACTGTAGGAGCCAGTGATACTACAGCTGTAGAGCGAAGATTGTTGAATACTGATAGTTCACTGCATAGCAATGATCTTAGTATCAGAAGGGCTTTTGTGGAGATTGAAGCTACACCGTCATGGAAAACCTGGAAACATTAAACAGCCGTTTCGTCCTATCGCGGGACTCCTCAACAGTTCTCATCCACGCCCACGAATCGCGGGATTCGAACCCAGGACCTTGAGAGATGAGAGTTATAAACCAGTGTGAGGAATTTTAATTATGATTTACAGTTGATCGTTAAGGTTAGGAATTGAACTTGAAGTTTTCATCACGAACCGATATCAGTTATAATGTCAAAACCCTATTTAGCCAAATGGATGAATGAATTTTGAGCCAAAATTTGAAACCTGTTATCTTATACCTGATTAGTTCGTTCATAAATTATAGTCGCCCTCATGCTTTTTCTTTTTACACCTAAAAACCTTTTCAACATTGAAATAACATATCCATAAATTAGTATTATGATCATTTAAAAAACAAAAGCAAATTAGGTCATTAAATTCACTTTATATTGTTCACCTGAATCTTCCCATTAATGTTTAAGACTACAATTGATCAGTCTCTTATTAGCATATGTGCATAATATGTATGTTGCCTTGATATTGCCCTAATTCACAAGCATTAGATGCGAAGATGGATAGTAAATAGTACTGGAATCTAGTTTGACGCATGTTTCTTCCTATTTGAGACTGGTCAGCTGGATGTACCTGCATCTCAGAGTTGATGTTCATTCTAAGACTCAAACTCAGTACTGTCCATTTCAAATGCCATCACATTATCCACTTACCTATTGAGTCCTGATAACCACTTGCTTGTACAATGAAGTGAAGTTTATATTCACTTGGTATTGTTTACTCGAATCCTCCCATTGATGTTTAACACTACAATTGATCAGTCTCTTATTGATATATATGCATCCTATGCGTATTGCCTCAATATTGCTTTAATTCATAAGTATTATAAGCATTCCACTCATTAGCTAAGTGAATAATGTGATAGAGTTTCAAGCGAACAGTAATGTACAGAGTTCAAGTCTCAGAGATTCAGGTACATTTAACTGATATGTCTCAAATAAGATGAAATGAGCATCAAACTAGATTCTACTATTAGCCTCTTTACTTATGCACTAAATTTGTTTACATTTCTTTCAATATTGACTTTTAAACAAATGATAATAAGAGATTCTTTTTTCTTTCTTTTCTTTTCTTTACTTTTCTTTTCTTTTCTGTAAACGTTTTAATAAATGAATGAATATATTGAATTAATTAATGTATGTTACTTCTTCTTCTTCTTCTTTTATATCAATATACTAATTACCAAAGAAACAAATTTAAGTGAGACAAATTATTTTTCATGTTTATTGAAATAATTCAATTTTAATAATACTCTTGTAGTATATGTATAGTTGAAAAAAAAAGTAGGAAAGAAAGAAAGAAAGAACTGAACAACTGTTTAAAATTTGTATCTTCCCATATATATATATATATATATATATATATATATATATATATATATATATAATATATGTATCATGTTCAATGTTGAACATTTACATGATATTACTTACGAATGTCCTGATACTACTACTGAGGGTAGGGGAGAGTTCACTCCTTCTCCCTCTCCCTCTCTCTCTCTCTCACTCTCACTCTCTAAATGATCTCACAAGGTTACGTGCATAAATTCAATGTCAGGAAAGTCCTAATCACTTCCTTCTTTTGTGGCAGGGGTGTTGTTTATGAAGTTAAGAGGACGAAAAGCGAATGTTTGGCGCTTTAATTGAATTAGTGGATAGGATGGATTCATCCAAGGGTTGTTGGAAAACTGTAATTCCAAACCAATGATGTACATAGGCTCCAGGATCCTGACGAAACAAATGGCATATGAACCTATTGTTGGTCAGCAACTACCATTGGACTACATTGCCTTACATAGTTCCACTGTCTTTTGGATTAGGCTCTTAAGTCAAAGGCTCTGGGAGTGGCCCCCTAGGAAAACCACCTGCTTCGGTCTTAGCGCTTGGACAACTACTGGATTCATTTTCATTATGTAGAGCATATGTATTTGATGCCCCCTTGTACTAATATTTATGTGTTCAAATTTAATAAAATAAAATTAACATTATGTAATTACTATATTGTAATGTTCCAAAGAGAGAAAAAAGGTAATAAAAAAATAGAATTAGTTTCTTTGTTGTTAAAAAAAAAGACGAAGTGTAATGAAACAATTTTCTAGTTGCAAGCGAATGTTTAATTTTCTTGATTGAGATCATGAACCGATTGATGTGAAACCACCAGAGAAAACCTGGAATCCCTGAACGGTCGTTTCGTCCTATTGTGAGATTCCTCAGCAGTGCGCATCCATGATCCTGCTTGCGGGATTCGAACCATGTGCTCATTAGCGACTAGTTTCGTGAGGGAATTCTCGGAGTTCTAGTGAGAAGCCGTGACCAGTGGAGTTAATCCGTATCGGGTAGAGAAAAGTATCTACATCAGTACAATGGAAGATTGTCACGCAATTTCGTGAATTAATTGATGTTAGACATTGGCACTGTCGAGTGCCTGCTGACTCAATAGTCTAGAGATTAGGCGTTTGTGCGCGAAACTGGGACGTTCTGTGTTCGTATCCCGCAAGCGGGATCATGGATACGCATTGTTGAAGAATCCCACAATAGGACGAAACAGCCGTTCAGTGCTTCTAGATTTTCAATGGTGGCTAGCAGTAGAATCCAGGACGCGCGTTTCTAAAAAAAAAAAAGAAAAAAACATACCCAAAATTGTGTTCATGCAGAATGTGAATATACTACTATGCACATACACGTATACATGCACACAATAAACATTTCTAAGTTTTCACTTCTGTTTATCAGGTTAACCATCTAGTTTTTTTTACCAGAGGGGGGGTGAGGGTTAACTTATCATTAAATTAGTTTATGAATTCAGGGTTGTTTACACAAATAACTGGTCGAAATAAACATCCCAACAGTCCAATATAATCAATATCTCTTTCTATATATATATATATATATAAATAGAATGATAATAATCTTTTATATTTGTTTATTTTAATTATTGATCGATGTGATTAACATCACTGAACATTGAAATGTTTCGTTATTTTTTTTTCCGGGATTGTTTGTTTTAGCTTCTCTAATAACTTTTGAAAAAAAAAATCGATAATATACAATAAATAGAAATAAAAGTTATATTGCTATGTAGAGCTGAAGGTTCGCCATTGATATTATGAATGGTTCGGAATTGGTTTGGCAAGTTTTGCTGATTGTTCATGCACAAAATTGGCTTGCTGGTTAACCGATTTCATTCATACTAGTGGTTGCTTTTCAGTGTTCTCATGGGATATTGTAAGACATGTCGCCATTGCTAACATTAATGAGTTTGATTATCGTGTAAGCGGAATAGGTCAACTTTGGCCTGTTCGTGTTGTGCACAGTTGATTCACGTGATCATTGATCTGAATAACTATACATGTAACATGAATGTATATATGAATGGTGCGAATGGTCCACCAGGGTGCTTGGTACCTGTATGGTTGCACCACACTATTAGGCTGTACTATACAGATTGTAGTTTTAAAGCCTATAAGGTTTCTAGTTCTCCTGTGAAGCAGGATTGAGCTGTACTCTTCGAGTTATAAAATTTAAGCCTGGGTGGTGTCTGACTCTCATGCAAGTGGGATTGAGCTGTACTATTTGTGCTACAACTTTCAAGCCTGGGCGGTGTCTGGCTCTTCTGTTAAACGGAATTGAGCTGTACTGTTTGGGTTGTCACGTGAAATTCTGGATGGTGTCTGATTCTCCTGGAAACCAATGTAAAATTCTCCTGGCCCACGAATGTATATTGTGTAAATAGAAATAATCCGATAACCCTTGAATTTATGAAGAAAAATCAATTATTTCTTTAGTTGATCGATACTTATTTGATGATGGTTCATATTAGAAGTAGTCAATATTAGTTGACATAGTAAGTCATGTGTGACCGACCTCAAGCAATTATATCTTGGACACTGCGGTTACGCTCTCAGGTCACTAAGACCACCTCCAATCCAATTTCATTTTCAGGTACCTCTAGAAGAACCCTTCCACGGTGTGAACAACCGGGAAGTGATAACTGCCCTCATACCTATAATAGCACTTAAGCCCACTAACTGACTCACATAGTAAGTGGAAAATTAAGAAGTTACCTGAATAATCGACTGATAATAATTTCTTGATATGATGTTGAATAGCACAATATCTGTCTCTTTGAAGTCAAGTGTATAGTTCAACAGATAATTCTGTATTATCTTACAATTGTAAAGCATTGCTTATGAGAGTAGATGGTACAATTAGACTTTTAACATTTCGTTGAAGATGTTTTCGAGATATTACTCGTTTGTAGTTAAATCATCAAGTGTATAATGCAAGGGGTTAATAGTAGGATACCAAGTAAAAATACATATTCAAATTATAAAGTTGTAAACGTTTCTCAATTGAGATGTTTTTATTAATATTTTATGAATGTTCAATATGAGATGGTGATTAACATAACACATGGCTTGAAGAAGTCTAAGTAACTTAAGACCAAGATATGCTATCAATCTGAAAAATCGTCTACTGTTCGTTAGTCAGTCAGTTACAACATAGAACTTCGTACGTTCGTACATCAGTTCGAGTTGCCGCACCACATTAACACAGAGATACATTGTTTACTGTTTCACTTAACTGTATTTTCAGAAACTAACTTTCTTCTATTCAGTAGCTTTAAGTAGTATGCCCACATATCTGATTGTTGTAATTAAAATTCATTCTCTCTATATCTGTTTATCAATCTTAAATTTCGGCATTATTTCACACTCTTCATTTCGTGATTTCATTCATTCTATTCGAAGGATATTTCTTAAATGGTTGATTTGTTTATTTTCGTTGATATAACCACTATTTAAACTCCATTAACTTTGTCCCATTGTTTTGATTCCCCCCTCTCTCTCTCTCTCTCACACACATACATACTGTTTTATTTATTTAATAAATATGGTAACGTAGGTCAGTGCACAGCTGTGCCCAGTGCTACACTGCATGTAGCTAACTTCATGGTTTCAAGTTAGAATCTTCAAAAAATGTAACAATTTAGCAGAGTGATAAAAAACCAAAAAATGAAGAACACACATCCCAGTAATTGTTATCATCTAATAGAAATCTATGTTGTTCAACCATGTTAAATATCAGACAGGCAGCTACCAACCAAATATATTGAAAGATGGTTGTGCAGTATTACGAAAGGTTTAAAACAAAATATATAAACCAATGAATGACAGAAGAGTGTTACAGAAGTTAAATGTCCACATCAAAGACTGAAGGTCCAGTATTCGAGCCATAGTTACGGGGATATTGATATGGACTACTTAGGAGTCTCACACTAACGAAACAGCCGTCTAGCGCATCATAGTTTTTGATGGGTTTTCAACTAAAAGCAATCGATGTCAGTCGGTCAATCAGCACTAACATAGGACCAGGTAAATATTTGCATCGGTCCAAGTTGCCACACCTCATTAGTACAACAATATGAACACCAAATTCATAGTAGTTAATCCAATGGTGGTAATATATAAAAGAAAGATTGCATATAAGAATGTAGTACAGAAAGAAAGATTTAGTTTGTAGAAAGATATGAAGCGATTTTAATCTCTTAGTTTAAGAGAAGACATAGGGTGTATGCACCTACGCCATTGTGATCGATTCTGAGCCATGTCACACACAGTCTTCAACCATTGGTTACGACAGTCATGCGGACCCCAACCAAGTAGTCTGCATCTACCAACATGACTCAGAATACAAGTTAATGTCTTCAACCACTGAAGCCACGTTCTCTTTTGGCTGCCCCTAACTTTCTTCCAACCATCCCCAACACCAGTTAGCATTGCATGTCGTGGTAATCGGTGTTCAGGTATACCTAACACGTGGTCCAACCATCTCAGTCGATGAAGATTCACAACCTTATCAACTGATTTACCATCATTCCCTAATACCCTGTGTCTAACCTTAATATTACTTACCCGATGATCCCAGCAGATACCAGCAATATTTTTAAGGCATCTGTGGTCAAATACTTGAGGCTTACGAGTATCTTCTACTCTGAAAGGCCATGTTTCGCAGCCGTATAGTAGAACGGAACGAACTGCCGCTCAGTATACTCGTCATTTTATTGATAGACAATATCTCGCTTTCTCCGTAGGTGACGTAAGTTGGCAAAAGCCAAACGAGGTTTTCGAATCCGTGCTGAGATTTCGTCAGACACCAACCCATTATGGTTGATCAGACTTCCAAGATAAGTGAAGTTGACAACTTCACTCCCTGTCCTTAGTTCAGGTGTTGACGCAGACCAGTCCTTGAGCAATCCATGATATTAAACATGAAACCTATTCCCTCAAAGTTCAGAAGTAATTAATCAACAGGGTGAAAAGTGTAACTATGATTATCATTAAGTATATATTTTATATATTATCATTGACTAGATTGTATAAATTATGTCAAAAGATGAATGTCAGAAGCTGAATTTTCTATCTTCACTATATGTTGTAGAAACTAAGACGTAATTGACTATGATAGATTTTTGATAACCTAATCAGTTAGATATCCTTCCCCCCCCTTAATTCCTGGAAGTAGTGATCATGATAAACAATTTATGTATCTTGTCTAGTTAACTTATATTCCACACTGGAAGTATTTAAGAGGATAACTATGATAGTTGATAAGGAGATTTACTACATTAAGTGTCATTCTAATCGGTCTGTTTAGATGGTTTTTTTGTAGTATACTACCAACAATATCTTGCTTAAACTAAAGATAATTTGTTTTTTATTAGGGGATTTAGCTTATAAAAACTAGTTCTGCTTAACGTTTTTGTCTATAAATGTCATTATATATCCATTTTCTAAAAAGATGGATCTTAGAATTGATACTTCACCCTCTAGACAATCCAGTAAATATATTTACAAGCATGTAGAATGAATGAGATTTCGATTTCTAGTTATAGAAATCATGCTGTTAAAATTTCAATAGTTGAGATCATGAGTCAATTGAAGCTAGACTATCATGGAAAACCTTGAAGCATTGACCGGCCATTTCTTCCTATTGTGGGACTCCTCAGCAGTGCACATCCACGATCCCACATACAACACTCGAACTCAGAACCTGTCAGTCTCGCGCGCACGAGCGCTTAACCACTAAGCCGGCATCCACCAGTGTTAATGTCTAACTTCAACTGATTCACGAAATTGAGCGATAAATCTACCACTGTCCTCAGTAAGTTACTATCTCACAACAGACCTAGCTGAACTCCATTGATCACTGCTTCTCACTAGAACTCCAGGAAATACCTCTTGGAGACCGTCACTAGTGAGCATATTAAAATTTGTCAATCATTTGTCTTAATTATGTTTACCATGTATAGATCTTGGTATCAATTTAATTAATAGAATCTCCAAGTTGTACAAATCATTTAGTATAGAGACATATGAGGGTTATTGAGTTGTTTAGTTAAATCACTGAACATCGGTTTCATTAGAACATGTGACATTATAGTAGTGATTACATATGATCTCATTGATGACTGCGTTCAGGATCTTCAAGACTTTAAAATAGTGATTTTGCATCAAAACTAACATCTAAACTGAAATCATAATTCATACTTATGAAAACTTTAAATATTTATTCACTATACTGTTTTTATTTCTCTTTTATTTAGACTACAATTCCATCAATTTCTTGGTCACCTCATAATTCTTTAATATTTGCTTCAATCGCTGAAGGTGTTCTTGAAATTTGGAACTTAGATTATTCAACGTAAGTTACAATCTTTTTTTTCGATGAGACTATAATTTATGGACAACCGTTGAGCGACACCAAAGTATCCTTAGGTGTGTCTACCAGGACCAAATGAGGGTTATAAACCTGTGTGAAGAATTTGAATTCTGATTTACAGTTGATGGTTAAGGTCAGGGATTAGATTTAGGCATTTCATGATGAATTGACATTAGTTATAATGCCAAAACGGTATTTAACCAAATGGATGAATGAATTTCACGCCAAAATCTGAGACCTGTCATCTTAAACCTGATTAGTTCATCTATAAATTATAGTCTCGCCAGGATGAACATTTCGTCCAAACTTTACCTCTATAGTTTAATATATCATTACCCCTAATGTTTATACTCTCACTTAGAATAGAATACATTACTCTTTATATCCCAAAGCATAAAGTCAAGAGAAAAAGAGAACCATTAACATTTATCTACAATTAACTTGATTGTAGTTTCCCTCTATTGATATTCACCGCTGAATTGAGATCCAATCTTGAACTGATGCCTTAACACTACTCATTAGTTAATTATTATTTTCTAATTACTTATTGAATGAGCCTTTAAATGCTAATAGAATCTAATCATCCTCATTTGGAATATCAACAGTAGAATAGTACAAATATGTACAATTAATACTTTGTATTTCATTTCATTTCATCTTTGAATGTATAGAGATCAATCTTAAATTTTACTAAATGTCCTTCATTTCAAAATTTTGAATAATTCAGTTTTGTGTTTTTTTTTAAGCAAAGATGGATTAGTGGCTAGCAGTGGAATCCAGGATATGCATTTCGTCCTATTTAAGACTCGTCAGTTGGATGTCCCTGCATCTCACTGTTGATGTTTAGTTCGGGACTCAAACCTAGTAGCGTTCTCTACTTAGCTACTGAGTCCTGATATCCATATGCTTGTACAATGGGGTGAAGTTTAAATTCACTTGGTATTGTTTTACTCGTATCTTCCCATTGTTATTGAGGACTGCAATTGATCAGTATCTTGTTGGCATTTATGCATTCTGTGCAGATTGCCACAATATAGCCTTAAGTCACAAGCTTTTTAAACAAAGATGGATTAGTGGCCAGCAATGGAATTCAGGATATGCGTTTTGTCCTATTTGGGATTGGTCAGCTGGTTGTACCTGCATCTCAGAGTTGATGTTCAGTTCGGGACTCGAAACCAATACCGTTCTCTACAAACGGCATTTCATTATCTACTTAGCTACTGAGTCCTGATAGTCACCTGCTTGTACAATTGGGTGTAGTTTAAATTCACAAGCACACAACGCCAAGGGAATTCAGTTTTGCTTTTTTTGTTTGTTTTTCTCAGAAACTATAAAATAAATGATAGTAAGTATGTTTAATAAGGTTTAGAATGATATTTTCTTAAAAATAATACCGTTTACTCTTAAATAAACGATTGAATACTTGTAAGTAATTCAACATAAACTGCTACTCTGGTGTATGCTACTGATGTCGATAGATATAAGTAGTATATATCACCAACCGAAAGTGAAATGTCTGGCGACAAAAGGTCGAGAAGATCGAAAGAAAGAGAATGAGAACAGAGAGTGATTTGAGTGGAAACGAAGTAATAGTCAAGTCAGAGATGATTGATTGACATTTTACAAATGAAGTATTTATTGTATGGTTCTCAGATTTTACTAAAACGTTCTGTAATGCTGTATTGGAACACATTCGGTTGTCTCTACTGATGTTCCTGTTTACTATAGTACAATTAACTGTACAAAAATACATTAAAATTATTTTACAGTAATGAACATATGAAATTACCATGACTTTAAGACAAGACCCTAAGGTCCAATTCAAATTATATAGTCTCTAAAAGAATTCATAATTCTTCCAAGACACATAATCCAATCTTAATGTAAGCAGTACCTTGATTTAGAGTTTACAATAAATTGAACTATTTAACAAAAACAAAGGGTTGAGAAATATCATGAATTGATTGAATTTATACATTAACACTGTTGGATACCAGCTCAGTGGTCTGGAAATTAAGCATTTTCACTCGAAACCGAAGCTCTTTGGTTTAAGTCCCACGTGAACAATCGTTGATGCGTACTCTTGTGGAGTCCTATACAAAGACAAAACGGGTGTCCGGTTGATCTCGTTTAGATCGACTTATGAATTCAGTTATCAAAATTACTGCAATCTCCATAAATCCCCATTTTGACAAAAAGAAATCAAACTAACCAAACTGATAAACAAGCTTTTGATTGAGATCATGAATCGACTGATGTTAGACCACCGTTGGAAACCTGGAAGCACTGGACGGCCGTTTCGTCCTAGTATGGGACTCCTCAGCAGTGCGCATCCACGATCCCGCTCGCGGGATTCGATGGAGGAGTCCCATACTAGGACGAAACGGCCGTCCAGTGCTTCCAGGTTTCCAACGGTGGTCTAACATCAGTCGATTCATGATCTCAATCAAAAGCTTAATAATCTCCACAACCCCAATACTGATAAACAAGCTTTGACATTCGCTATGGTAACGTTTTATAATTTTGTACTAAATATTGATTTTCTTTTTTATAGTGTTGATCCTTATATTTCGGAGACAATATCCACTGAAGCAAATATGACAAGTGTTCTATTCTCTGAAACTAGTCAAGTGAGTGTTGTATCTTGTTATTATGATTGAAAACAATTTCTATGGTTTTATTGACTATAAATAGTCAATAAAGAAAATAGAAACTATTATTTCCCACTATTCCTTATTTGGTATTCAAGTTTATGGAAGATTTTTAAAAGAACTGATACTATTATTTTGTGACCATCTATCTGACTTTAAGTAAATTGTATAAATGATTGTTATTGAAATACACATTCTGGCTAACCTCGTGTAGCCTCATATCATCAACCAAATCATACTTGATGAAGAAGCTCTGAAAGAGGTGGAAACTCCCACGTACCTGGACAACGTCATCGATAAACAAGGAAGTTCAGATGCAGACGTAAACGCGAGGATTCGCAAAACAAGGACAGCATTCCTACAATTAAAGAACATATGAGACTCAAAATAACTGCCTGTCAACCAACAATAAAGTCACAATCTTCAATACAAATGTCAAGACAGTCCTACTATACAGAGGTGAAATTTGTAGAACTACCACGACCATCATCAAAAGGTATAAGTATTTATAAATAGTTGTCTATGCAAGATACTCAACATCCATTGGCCGGATACCATCGACAACAGTCTACTATGGTAGAGAACAAACCAGCTTCCAGCTGAAGAGGAAATTAGGAAAAGACTATGGAAATGGATAGGACATACATTACGCAAACCATCAAATTGCATCACGAGGCAAGCGATAACTTGGAATCCTGAAGGGAAACCGAAAAGAGGAAGGCCAAAGAACACATTACGTCAGGAAATAGAAGTAGATATGAAAACGATAAATAAAAACTGGGAAGGACTGCCCAAGACAGTGTTGGATGGAGAGTACTGGTGGGTGGTCTATGCTCCTCCACGAGGAGTGACAGGCGTAAATAAGTAAGTAAGTATTCTCGCATATTATTATTGACTTAATTCGCGTTAGTGAATCACGTAATTAAGTAACTCAAATACGAGAATGAAGTTTTGAATACGTATATTTTGTACAATCATCAATCTGCAGAAACATTCACAGGGATGAAGCGAGGAGAAGAAATTGAAATGAAATGATATGCAATGGAGAATACATGTGAGCCAACTCCATTTAATCAAGCGTTAATCAATATTTATAGTCACACAAAAATAAGCTACAGATATGTAATGAATAGAATAGTCAATGCACACATATACGTTTATATAAAAACAGTCAAGATTGACAAATGAATAATTAGAATCAGAAGAGGTTTTGTGGAGATTGTAGTAATTTCAATAATTGAGATCATGAGTCAATTGAAGCTAGACCACCATGGAAAACCTGATAGCACTGGACGGTCATTTCGTCCCATTGCGGGACTCCTCGGTAGTGCGCATCCACGACCCCGCCTCGCAGGTACAAACCTAGGACCTGTCAGTCTCGCGCCAGGCGCTTAACCAACTAGACAACTAAGCCGGTATCCGATGATGTTATTGTCTAACTTTAATTAATCCACGAAATCGAGAGACACATCCACCATTGTCATCAGTGAGTTACTATCTCACAACTGATTCCAAATAAATAATTAACAAGGTCAAAATGGGACTTAAGTCGAATAGATAAATTAACCTGTCCAGAAGCTAGACTAAGGTATAAGCTTAACATAGTGTAACCGATACTACAAATAATAATAATAATAAGTTCAGTTCAACATTATCCAATGTGATAGATAGAAGTGCCTCTACTTAACTAATCTTTATGAGATAATTAATGTATGTTTTGAAAAAGAAAAGAAGATTAGAACATATTATAATGTATTATCATTACTGTATATATAAAAGTTGTAGTCAAGTCAATTCAGTTGTTTCTATATTGTTAAAAGGATATTGTTTGATAATTAAACTAATTAGACATCATGCTAAGAGTTAACTTAATTGTTGCTGTTTTGCTAAGGATACAATTAAACTATCTTCCTCACTGATTCAAATATCCCTAATTATTTCAACTAGAACACTAAAGAAAAGTTCCAAATATCGATTAAAAGCTTTAATGAATGGTTAGTTTATGTATAGAAACAAAAAAAAAAAAAAACAAGGATATTTCTAGAAATTTCTTGAATCATCTTAACAGTATGGATAAATATTCAACAACAAAAAAATCATGACACAAGATTCTTCACTTCCTAGAAAGTTCTATTCAACACTGATTAGGTAAAACATTTCCTTTTGATTGAGATCATGAACCGATTGATGTTAGACCACCGTTGGAAACCTGAAAACACTGGACGGCAGTTTCGTCCTATTGTTGGACTTCTCAAGAGTACATATCCATGATCTCGCTCACGGGAGGAGTCCTACAATAGAATAAAACAGTGCTTCCAGGATTTCAGTGGTGGTTTAAAATCAATCAGTTCATGATCTCAATCAATAACTTAATAATCTCCGCAACCCCCAATACTGGTAACTAACATTATAATTGTATTTTGGAGCACTCAGTATAACATATGTGATCAGTTGAACAGTACAATAGTAATGTATACTTTTTTATCATTTAACTGAGATAATAGTTTAGTATATGGAACTTTATAGAAACTTTTTTAATCATTTCATTTTCATAATAAAAACAATAAGATGTGACCTCAGAAAATATGTAGCCTTTACTACTACTACTACTACTACTTATAAAGTAGTATATAACATCAAATTATTCAAAGTTTAGAATTCAATGTTATAAAAACAGATATTACTGAAATTTTCTTTATTATGGTCAAAGTTAAACATTAACACCGCCAGATGGCGTCTCAGTTGCCTAGAGATTATTCGTTTGTGCGCAAGACCAAAGTTCCTAGATTCGTGTCCCTTTGATGCAGGATCGTAGATGCACACTACTGAGGAGTCCCACAATATGACGAAACAGTCGTCCAATGATTTCACATTTGCAAAGTTCATCTAGCCTTAATCGATCCATGAATTCAACTATTTTATAAAAAAAAATTGTTAATAACAATAACAAGGAGATTTCTTTTTTATTAATGAACAGTCAAATATGATTTCTGTTGAGGTTGCGAGCGAGGGGGGGGGGCAGTTGAAAAATATTTCGATTTTTTTTTCAGATTAAATATTCCATTAGATTCTCATATTTCATTGTGCAAAAACCAAAAAAAAAAAACCAAAAAAAAAAATTGTTTTCTTACATAACCAGCTTTTTAATTCCTTTATTAATTCTTTAATCTTCATTGTGAATAGAATAAACAAGACAAAATTTGTTATTTGATACGTTTATTTGTTTATTTTTGATGAACAATAAATGTACAAATAACAAAACAAAACAAACATTCACTAGTTTAACAAGACTGTATGAATAATGGCTAACAGTGGAATCAAGTTTGACGCTTGTTTTATCCTATTTAAGACTCATCAACTGAATGTACTTATATCCTAGAGTTCATGTCCATTCTAGGACTTGAAACCAGTAATGTTCACTTAAAACGTCATCATATTATTCACTTAGCTAATGAGTCCAGATAACAATCAGTTTGTTCAGTAGAATGAAGCTTAATTCATATTTGTAGTGGTTGCTTATGACCTAAGACAATATCAAGGTAATCCACTCAAGATGTTCCTTTCTTCATATAATAATTTAATCAACTTTTAATAATAACTTGTTATTATTATTGGGTAGTGCCTTCATAATAAGAATAATATATAAATTCATCTGGTGTTGTTTGTTTGAAACTTCCTATTGTTATTTAGAACTACAATCGATCAATCTCTTGTTGGTATATGTACATCTTGTACGGATTGCCTCGATATTGCCTTAATTCACAAGCATTCTAAGGAAAGATGGATAGTGGTTAGTAATGAAGTCGAAAATGAACGTTTCGTTCTATTTGAGACTTGTCAACTGGATGTACCTATACCCCAGAGTTAATTTCCATTCCAGGACTCGAACCCAGTAGCATTCGCTTGAAACGCCATCGTGTTATCCACTTGGCTGCTGTATATAACCGTAATATCTTAATGACTGACTGGTTAACTGAATGAGTAGAACAATAAATATTTAACTTTCACTTACCTATTTAAATGAGAAGATAGTTAACATCACAGACTGGATTTGAACAAACAAATCAGAGAAAAATAAGCAATCAGTAATGAACTGTTTTATTTTATTATGACAATCCTTGATATTGTCAACTTACAACTCTATTAATGACTAAACTCAGTACTTCCTGACCAAGTTATGATCTTTATATCTAGTGTTTTCTACTACTACGAATATTGTTATTATATATAGTCACAATAAACTTAAAACCTGATACACATAGACGTTGACTTGAGTTGCCTTACAACATTCACACAATGAAATGAATGTAAGGATATGGTGTAGTGAAGATGTCAAAATAATGTAATAACAGTGACCATAAGAAAAAGGGCTATTAGAGGACGAACGTACTTAGCATATGCTCTGACCACTTAAGTAACCTACTCTTTATCATCATCTATTACCCTATACTCAGCATCGACATTACTCGTTCCATGTGTTGTAGCTTTAAGTCCGGCTAGTTATTACGTAATTTATTCGCCAAACGAAATACGACTTATTCATTCTTGTACTGTATTAAACCAGTGACGTTTGGCCGGTCCGATCAGCCTAGCGTCCTTATTGGTCCTTCGTTGGCCTAATCCGTCCAGTTGAGTCCAGAACACCAATAACGGCTTCTGCTATGTGAATCATTTATTTCAAACATACTTGGTATATATACCAGCTAAACAAACAGCATAGCACCATAAAATAGGAAATAACATTTATACACTATCGAATCAAAAAGTGACTGTGAACGTAGGAGACCGTAATCAATAAACTGAACATAACTTAAGAACAGTAAATCGTACAATATTAATTTATAGATCAAAATGAAGCTTGTAATAAGAGGAATATAGATATATCTAATCTACGTACTGAAAAGTTATACAATAGGAATATATATCTAATATTAGACCATTAATAGTTCCCAGAAGTTACTCGTCATTGAATCTTCACTAGGATATAACATCATGGATCTATAATACATAAGTAATGCTTATAAAACATCATTATCTACTTTCATTCTTAATTCCATGAGAAAGAAAACATATCAACAAATAAATTCATTCTATTGGTTCTATACAAGTTAACATTAGGATAACTATTTCAGTTAAACAACTAAATTTGTCAACAATCCAGCCTTTACTGTTAGTATCAGTTGTCTATTTAAAATATGATTAATCTATCCCTGAAATCTCAATGGAAGCTGTTGTTTGTTTTGCAACATGATGACTTACTTACTGTCACTTCCAATGGAGAATAGGCCGCCGACCAGTATTCTCCAAACAACTCTATCCTGAACCTTCCTTTCTAGTTCTATCCAATTGTTGTTCATTCTTCTCATGTCTGTTTTCATTCCTCGATGTAATGTGTTCTTCAGTCTTCCCTTTCTCCCTTGGTCTTGAGGATATCAAGCGAAGGTTGATAACATTACTTATTTGAAATTATTATCATCTTAAGATGATGTAATCTAGAATTTGATATCATTAACCTATTTAACCTACCAAGAAAATTAAGTCATTACTTGACTTAGATTCACTGAAACAAAACCATACCTTAATACTGAATCCTTTCATCTAAATATATCCCTGCACAATCATAATGACTAATATACATCATAGGCTAACTTACATTAAATAGCTATGAATGATTAAATAAATACTAAATAGTTCTTTTATCATCTTAGTATAAAATACCTCAATAATTCACATCAATGATCTCATCAGACATAGAATCCAAAACTTTCAAGCCTCATAGTAAACATGTTACATTCAGCGGTCAAATTTGTTTTTTGGTTTTAGTCAATTAGGGATACTACTCAATTGTTTTCTGTTTCCATAGTTGTTAATTATACCACTGTTGACATCATAAGTTTATATATTTTCTCCTTTAAATTATTATGTCTAATGTTATAAGTATTACTAATTCTTATATAAGTAATTCATCACCTTAGAGGGTAATATAAACTGATTTATTTTTAGAATGGAAGTTTGTAGAGATTGTAGTAATTTTAATAGTCGAATTCATGAGTCGGTCTAAGCTAGACTATCATGAAAAACCTGAAAGCAATGGATTGCCGTTTCATTCTACTGTGGGACTCTTCAAAAGTGCGCATCCACAATCATGCACATGAGACTCAAACGCAGGAACTTCAATCTCGTACGCGAATGCTTAACCTTTAGAACACTGAGCCAGCATTCAACAGTGTTAATGTGTAACTTAAATCGATCCATAATCTTGCGCGACCATTCATCCATTGTCTGAGTTAGATACCTTTCTCTATCCGACAGGGAATGGACTCCACTGGTCACGGTTTCTCAGTAGAACTCCAGGAAATTCATCTTGAAACCGATCACTAATGACAACATGATGATTATTATGAGGATGGAGTTTGTGGAGATCATAATAACTTTAAGAGTTGAATTCATGAGTCCATCTAAGCTAATAAGTTAATAAACATCTGAAATAACCACATGAAACGTTTGATTTTTTAAAAACACTCACATTTAATTAATGGTTGAGTTAATGAGTCAATTTAAGATAAATCAAGCTGAAAAACCTGAAAGCACTGGATGACCATTTCATCCTAGTATAGGACTCATTAGTAGTTCGAATCTCGATCACGGGATCAGTTTCAGACTATTTAAAAAAACTTTCAATAATTAAAATCATAAGTTAATTGAAGTTAGACCATTGTGAAAAACTTGGAAGTACTGGACGGCCATTTCGTTCTATTGTGGGACTTCTCATCAGTAATGCACATCCATGATCCCGCCTCGTAAGATTCGATCCCGATATCTATCAATCTTCCACGCGAGTGCTTAACCACTAGACCACTAAATCTTTTAAAATATAGCTTTATTTTTATGTAGTATGAAACTGATCCTATGAGTGGGATTCGAACTACTGTGGAGTCCCATACTTCGATGAAATAACCGTCCAATGACTCTCAGATTTTTCATAGTGGTCTAGTTTCAATTGACTTATGATCTGAACTATTAAGATTACTATAATATCTACAAAATTTAGTCAAAATATCAACAAACGGAATAATTCAAACGATTACAAAAGTAATGGCCAGTGGAGTTCAACCAAGTCTGTTGTGAGATAGTAACTCGTTGAAGATAATAGTGAATTTGTCCGTCAATTTTGTAGATTAGTTGAAGTTAGATATTGAAACCGTTAGATGCCAGCCGGTTCACTGATCTAGAGGTTAAGTACTGGCGCGCGTGACCAATGGGTTCTAGGTTCGAGTGTTGTATGTGGGATCGTGGATGCGCACTGCTGAGGAGTTCCACAGTACGATGAAATGGCCGCCTACTACTTCCAGGTTTTCCATGATGATCTAACTTCAATTGACTCATGATTTCAACTATTAAAATTATTACTATAATATCCTTAAAAAGAAACCCTTCTTATATTTAAAAATAAACCTATATTTAAAAAGACTTATGTTTATTTGCATTACAATACAAATTACAATATCAACTAAATAATCATAATAGATCTTAATAACAATACTACTAATAACTATATTCCATTAGAATTCTATTACCTTCACATATATTATTCATTAGATCCATGATCACATTTCACAATAAGATCACTCATTCATTCATTTATTCATTGGTGAAATATCATTCCATTCCTTCAACATTCAATAATCGTCATTATCTTCCATGTTTATTTATTTGGTCATTTAAACATCACAACAACAAAAACAACAAAAAAAGAAACAATAAATGTCGATTCAAATTTTGAAGAGAAAAAGAAAAAAAGGAAAAAAAGCAACAATAAAAAAAACAAACAAACAAAATAACTGTACATCATTTAAAAAAACAACACAACAACAACAAACAAATAAATAAACAAATAATCAATAGAATTCATTGTCCATTTGATAAAATTGTCTCTTTATTAATAGTACGTTGATGTTGTTTCATTTCAGTCACACAAAATGTACATACTGATCGATTATATCGTTTATTCTGATTAAAAATGATTTGATTTTTATTGATTTTATCTTTAAGATTTTCATGATTATCATTATTACTAATATCATTATAAGTAGTTTCTAAATTAGTTATATTATTATAATGATAAATTTGTTGATGTTTTAAACATGGTTGATCTGCTGGTCCTGAACCAGTTATAAGTATAGCATGTAAATGTGATATATATGATGAAGCTAAACGTAATGTTTCAATTTTTGATAATTTTCTATTAATTGGTTCTGTAGGTATTAAATTACGTAACATAAGAAATGCATCATTTACACTAGCTGTACGTGTACGTTCACGTTCATTAGCAACACGTTTTATTGGAGGTTGATATTGAGATAATGATGTTGATGATATCGAAGATGAGAGTGGTATATGTTCAATAGTATTATCATTGTTACTACTACTATTATTATTAGTAGTAGTAGTAGTAGTAGTAATAGTATCATGTATTGTTGAACATTGATTGAAATGATCTGTTAAACAATAGGATAGATTTTTTTGTTTATCATTATAATGTTGTGTATAATTTGTTAATAAATAATCTTCATTATTCCAATTACGTTTACCATATGAATTAATAGACATTTTCATAAATAAGTAGTATCTTCCTTTATTTATGAATTATTCATTCAAATGAATTCAACTATTCTCAATTATATACACAGATATATATATTTATGATAGCTTGATAGTTGGATAGATAGGCTAACTTATGAAATAGTGGCCTGTTTTTCTCTACATTTTATATACAATCTATTACTTGCACATTTACTTTGATAGGATAAATAGGATAAGGAATACATTGTGCACCAATATATGATTGTACACACACATATATATATGTGTGTAATGCACACAATCTTTTTCATTGGTTTAATTGTTACTATGCTAATGCGCTATTTTTGTTTTGTGGCTCTTAAATATTGATGATCGCATTAAGTTAACCAATCGGTTTTTTTTATTCCCTTCTCTTTCTTTTCTTTTTGTATAAAAATATGTATTTTGTAAATATGTTGAAGTACTTAACAAACGAAAGGGGGGGATGAATGTAAATAATGTGGATATATTATATAAATGAGATTTATATTCAATAACTGGTTCATTTTATATTGGAGTGAATCGATATCAATATGAATTATCAACAATGTAATTCTTTGAAAAAATATTATAGTTTTTTTTAAATTTGTTAGTAGTTGCTTAGATCATAGATTAATCTCTAAACAAGCTTAAAGAACTACACAGCATCACCGACTGCCCTGGCGTGAGAGTAGGTTGGAAGAAAGCTAAGGGTTGCCAGACCAAATCATGGCACAAATCCATGAAGATACTGACAAGTCAACTGAGCTATGTTAGTAAGTGTAGACTATCTGATTGGGATCCGCGAGACGATATCAACTGATGGTTAGAAACCCTGAATGACATGACTCAAAATCATTTGCAATAGTGTGCGCAGGTGAATCCACTCTTTGTGTTCTTCCAAATTCTAATCTTCTGAATTCATGTCCCTTTCTTTTTTTCTCTTTCCAAATTTATTTCACTGTATTCTACTCCTTGAATAACATCTTCAAACCCTAATCTTTCCGATTACTGTTTATACTTTTACCACCTCTACCACTACTGGATTTGAATCGACAACTTCATCTCTGTTCAAATGTGGTATGGCAATTTGAACTGATGTATGTACGTACGAAGATCTACGTTGTGACTGACTGACTACACAGCAATATATACCAACATCATGATTCATAGTATTTGGAAACTAAACAACCTTCCGGAACTTTCATTCTAATAATGATAATCTCCTTCTGATGACTAAATTCACGAAAACTTTTTCTAAGTTCTGATGAGAAGTAGTGGTTAGTGGAGTTGGACCATGTTAGGACTGAGATAATCATTTTTTGGTCACATTGTTTGTTGGGTATGGTGTATTACAAACTGAGTAAAGTTAGAGATGTTATTTATTGAATAAATACTCAATGGTACCGACTTAGCCTCCCCATCGTGGAACTTCAAGATTTCCAGTCTTCTTCCTCTAGGTACAGACTCCTTAAAACTCAGGAAATATGACAAAGTGTCTGTTCAATGCTCTCTGGTTAGTAGTAGTCGTTTCGGCAAAATTAGTCAGCGATATAAATCACCTATGATTAAACCTATCTGTCCATTATAAACATACTAATGATTATAAGTTGAGGTAGATTGTGATTTGTAATGAAATCCTATTCTAGACTTGTCACATCTCAGAGTTGGTATTCCTCTAGGGACTCAAACCCCGTGCCATTATATTATCTACCTATCTACTGAGTTCAGATAGCCACCGGCTTATTCAATGAAGTGAATTTTTAATTCCTATATATTGATTGTTTGGATCTTCACACAGATGTTTAGGACTGTAATTGATCAATCACTTTTGGTATATAAGCATCTTGAGACGATTGCGTTGATATCGCCATTAAGTTACAAGCATTCTGAAAACAGATGGATGGTGGATAGGAGTGAACGGAAAGCACCCACTCGATTCTACTCCTGCACACAACCCATCTATATATATAATGCTTTTGATTTAATGAAAATACCAAGGCAATTCGCATACGATGCCAAAAACAAAGTGATCAATCGAAGTCCTAAACATCACTGATAAGATTCAAACAACCAATACTAGTGAATAATAATAATCGATCTAATAATATCAATCATTTAAAACTAACTTCATTTTCACAGTTGTATCATTTAAACAAGATAGGTTATTTGAAGTAAATGATGGAAATCTGTTCTGGTTTCTATGTAATTTTAATAACATCTCACAAAAGATTTACATTAATTAATCACTAAGAGCTAATCGATACCTTGCCATGTAGTCACTGTCGATCGATTTATATCAATTAAGTTGCAGTTTAACCAGTATAACAAACATAGTGTTTGCTTTGTTTGATAATAAGTAGTTTGAGACAATCAAGCAGTGTCTGTGTATGACTTAAATCTTTCACTGTTGTTGGTAATCAATGATATGGTATTCTTGCAATCTTGAAAGGATTAATGTCACCTTTACAATGATAGCTAATGTCATCTAATGTTACAAATAAAGATGGTTTGATCTGTGCTTATTCTTTACTTTATAAAGGAATAAATTCCAGCTGTTATAAGCAGGAAAAAATGACTTCATCAATATAAAATCATCTGATAAAGGAGTTTTATGGAACTTTAATGAATAACATTAAAATTAGTTAACAGATTAATTAAGGGGGTTTTGTGAAGGTAAGTGAAGATAGGTGACTTTCTTTATGGAATGATTTCATTTTAGGATATCCTTAAAAGTTACATTACACTGGATTATTGTTTCCTCCTACTAGGGGATCCCTCATTATTGAATACCATAAGGCGTCGAACTCTGAATTTTTGTTTCTTGCAATAAACCTATGATCATTAGAATTACTAAATGGTACAGTTCTAGCCTTGACCAATTTCTACAACAATCACATATTGTCACTAAGGTGAACTGTTTCACTTTCAACATTATCAAACTCCGCTAGTTATGACTTTTTAGTAGAACTTCAGAAGTATCTTAAACTAAGTTAATATTGATCTGAGTATTGTGGTTTATTCGAAGTTTTTTTGAAATTCACTATAATTTCAATAGTTGAAATCATGAATCAATTGAAACTAAACCACCATGGAAAACCTGGAAGCATTGGACGACCGTTCCGTCTTAGTACGGGACTCCTCAGCAGTGCGCATCCATGACCCCGCCCCCTGCGGGATTCGAACCCAGGGCCTATTAGTCTCGCGGCAGGTGCTTAACCAACTAGACCACTGAGTCGTTATCCAACGGTGTTAATGTCTAACTTCAACTAATCACTATAATTGTCCAAAACTAATCTCAATTGGAATAATATTAGATTACATCCCTGGTTGGGCTATGTATGTTACCACAATCAAGAAATAGTTTACATTGACAAATGATTACACAAATATACCATAAAACACTTGTTCAGTATTCACTTGGTAATGCTTTGCTTGAATCTTCCCATTGATGTTTAAGACTGCAATTGATCAGTCTCTTATTGACATGTGTGCATACTGTGAAGTTTGCCTCAATACTGCCTTAATTCACAAACTTTATAGGCAAAGATGGATAATGGCTAGTAATGCAGTCCAGTTTGACGCGCGTCTCGTCCTATTTTGGACTCATCAGCTGGGTGTACCTGCATTTCATAGTTGATGTTCATTCTGGGATTCTAACTCAGTACCATTTGCTTCAAACGCCATCATGTTATCCACTCAGTTACTGAGTGCTCTGTTCAATATATCCTCATTAAAATTAGTTATAAATTCATTTCGTATCTTGTCCTAACTATGTAAAATAATCTTATCTTTTAACTACATAGGACATAACCAATGTCCTATGGGGATTTTTAAACTGCTAAATGAAATTAGCTAATGTGTTGAATCATATATTAGCCTAATGTTAATTATTATTATAGATTTGATATTGGATGGTAACTCAGCGGGTTATTTAAAACAGTAGGTGATAAACATCTTTCAACATATAATCTTTATTGACATTTCCAAGATTATATTGTCAATTTAAAAAGAAGTATTTCCGTTAAGAGACGATTAAACCGTTACGACATATTGGATGAAACTTCAGAATTTCAAGTCTTCTAATGAATATAAATCTTCTCAATAGATGATTTTGTATTTAATAGTTAACAGTGTTGAAATAAGTTAAGATGTATGAACTACCTTTGTTTTAACAGAAATAAAAATGCTATAAATCGATTAACAAAACACTTAAAATTTGATCATGTTAAGTTCAGATTATTTTTCACCATCGAAGGTAGTAACTAAAATGCACTTGTGTATGTGTGTATATTCGTTTATTGATCGTAGCAACTTATTTATTTTATTTCACTAAAACACATTTTCCATTCCACAATTTAGTTACTATACTTTTAATGTCAAAATCAATTTTGTTAAAATTCTTATCGAGATTTTTTGTAAAAATAAAAACAGGGAGAAGGGAACGGAATGGGGAGGTGGTAATGAAAGACAGAGAGAGTATACACCAGAACACCACAGGGAGGCAATAAAATTCCATTTTAACATTTCTTTGACTGATTTACACACGTAGACACACAAACAAGCACTCTCACTTTATCTCTCTCTATCTCACACACACACACACACACACTCTACAACTGATTAAATGTATTTCACACATTCGCTTAAAGTGGAATTGTGTGAATGCATTTACACAGATAAATAATGTTGATAATAATAATAATTGGTAGGATGTATGTAGAATATCGAAGAAAAGGGATAGGGGGAGAGAAAACTAATGCAGCAACAACAACAACACTAATAAAAACTGGGGAAAAAAATTGATGAATGACCAGTCGTCGTTTTCTTCTATGAACCACAGTTTATGATAATAAGATGAACTATATTCTATAATCAATTTTACAGATTTTTGTGTCTACTTATTTGACATTTACTTCGTGAGTGTCTCTCGCTCTCTCTCTTTCTCTCGCTTACCTCTCATATCTAATCATTCATCCACTCACTAAAACACATACATGCACTTATGTCCCGTTGTGTGTTTTATTGCTAAGTTAGTTACCGTGCCCAAAGATTTAAATAATAATATTCATGTATCGAAGTAAGAAAATGGAATTTAGTTAACTAGGCAACTATATCTCTAACTAGTCAGAATCATCAATTGTCAAACTGTTTTAAAAAACAAAACAAAACAAGGGAATGAAAACTGTTCAATAAAGACATAAATTAAACGAAATGAATATTTATGTGACAGACAGTTGGCATTCTATGGTAGAATGACTGTAAAATTGTTTTGCGCGGGTGGGAGGGCGGGGGAAAAGGAAAGATGAAAGTAAGCTGAAAATTTCTAGTATTCACTACTACTTACCAAGGTTAGTATGTCATGTTGATGTTCAGTCTAAAATAAAAGACTGGCCAACTTATATACTTTTATTAGGTACGTTAAATATGAATCATGAAAGCTAAATCTATATTTAAATTCATTTTGTATTGTTTGCTTGAATCTTTCCATTGATTAGTCTGTTATTGGCATATATGCATCGTGTGCAGATTGCCTCAAATATTGCCTTAAGTCACAAGCATTATAAGCAAAGATGGATGGTAGCTAGCAGTGGAATGGAGAACGCTTGTTTCGTCCTATTTAAGACTAGTCAGCTGAATGTACCTGCATTCCAGGGTTGATGTTCAATCTGTATTTAAAAAATCACATAAAATGGTGATTATTTACATCTGTGTGATATGATATAAATTTCCACTTGATGCTAACTCAATAGTTCACCAGTAAACTGCTGGCTGCTTAGCCTTAATGTTCATGAGTCAGGTCTCCGAGAGGAAAATAAGTGTGCATTGTTGAAAAGTTCCATGTCAAGAAAAAAAATTGATGCATAATGCTTTCTGATACTTGTTGATTGTTTAACTAAAAATTTTCCAAAAACTTCAATCCTAATGATCATATCTTATATTTGAAGATAAGTTTTATTTTAGAATGATACCAGCTAGCGAAAACCCTAAAAACACTGGACAGTTGTTTACTCCTAGTTTTGGCTTCATCAAAACAGCACACAATCACTACACCACATAGGAATAAACATAATTTACCAGGTGTTGTATCAAGTATATCTACATCACTGAACATGTATCCAGCAGCCTATGCACTTCAAATCTAAACAAGATGAGATCTTTTTTTCAACTGACATAATTCTTAGAATTTTTTATTGAGATCATGAATCAATTGATGTTAGACCACCATTGAAAACCTGCAAGCACAGGACGGCAGTTTCGTTCTAGTATGGGACTCCTCAGAAATGCGTATCCACGAAAATTGTGTGAATTACAAATTCTTCTTGTTATGATTATTATTATTACCGTAATTACAACAACATGGAAATGAGATTCGATTGAAAGATAAAATGTTCAAGTATTGAAATGATGGAGAAGATTTGTAGCTCAAGTGAATGAGTTTTTGATGAAGTTTATAGTGACGATGTTGTTCAGAAGAACAATGAAAGCTCCACAATCAAACTACCCGCCTCAGATAAACACAACTCCATCAAAATGTCCAAGTTGATTAAAACTTATATATACTGTCTTTTTTTAATAGTCAACTGTTTAAACATGTATGCACATAAAAGTAGTTAAACACATGAATTAATTACTTACACCTATTATCCGTCATAGACGAGCATAGGCCATACATTAGGATTCTCCACCCAACTCTGTTCTGAGAGAGCCTTTCCAGTTACCATTCATCATTTTCATATCTGTCTCGAATTCCTGATGAAGTGTGTTCTATAGGCTTCCTCTTTTTTGTTTCGTTTCAGAATTCCAAGTCACCGCTTGTCTTATGATACAGTTTGATGATTTCCTCATTGTGTGCCCTATCCACTTCCAACGAATTTTCTTCATTTCCTTTTCAGTTGGAAGTTGGTTTGTTCTCTCTTACAGCAGGTTGTTGTTCATGTTATCCAGCCAACGGACATTGAGCATCTCATGCAGACAATTGTTTATGAATACGTGTGTCTTCTTGATGATGGTTGTGGTAGTTCTCCAAGTTTCAGATCCGTATAATAGAACTGACTGATTTGACTCTCGTATTGAAGACCGTGATTTTGATATTGGTTGATAGTTGTTTTGAGTGTCATATGTTATTGAATTGTAGGAATGCTGTCCTTGCTTTGCCAATCCTCTCATTTATGTCTTCACCAGATTCTCCTTGTTCATAGATGATGCTACCCAGATACGTAAATGTTTCCACCTCTTCCAAGGATTCTAAATCAAATGTAATTGGTTTGGTGTTCTCCGTGTTCTATTTAAGGATCTAACGTTTATCCCTTGTATATATTGAGGTTTACTGATGCAGTGACTGCTGCTAAACTAGTTATCTTCATCAACATTTGTTCATGTGTATGAGATAGTAGTTAAACATATGAACTAGTCATTAATTAAACTTTATTGTCGATATATTAAACGTGATTATGTAGAAAGTAATGCTTAATTGAATAGAACCATTATTCATATGATTTTAATAGAAGGCAAGTTACTTTCATTAAAACACTCACTCACTCACTCTCACACACACACACACACAACACTTTTCCAACTTTTAAATAAACAAAGATGTTGAATTAATTGAGAGAAAATAATGAATCCCTTGTGTAATAAATAGTTAGGTCATAGTACAAAGAAGAAATCAGTAAAGGAATTGAATGAAACGATAATCTTGTCAAAACTCTATAGGTAGACATAGATGAACTACTTGTACCGACTATTCAATCATTTCATTTAGAATTCTCAACCATTGATTATAATTATTGTCTAGATCTCAACTATCAGATCTTTACTTCTTCATAATATTCATTCGATCAATGGTTGATTTCATGCTATGATGACTACTTGATCTACTAGGATGCTGGGTACCTGTGTGGTTGCACTACAGGACTAATCTGTACTATTAAGATTGTAACGTTAAAGCCTACATTGTATCTGGTTCTCCTGTGAAGCGGGGTTATGCTGTATTGCTCACGTTATTATGTTTAAGCATGGGTAGTGTCTGGCTCTCCTGCAAGTGGGATTGAGCTATACTGCTCTGGTTAAGCTCGAGCGGTGTTTAACTCTTCTGTTACACGAAATTAAGCTGTACTCTTTAGGTTGTCACGTGAAAATCTGGATGATCGTCTCCAGTTCTCTTGAAAACCAATATAAAATTACCTCAACCCATAAAGGTATATTATATAACTAATGATAACTACTCCATTGTTTTCACTCTACTATGATAGAATGAAAATGGATGAAGAATTTCTCCCTACTGGTAATTAAATCATTTAAGAGGTTAGTGGTACTGGATATACTACATTAGGCTAATATCATAATATGGGAATCTTTCTAGAATTTCTCCAAGTCTCAGTGAAAATCAAAAGACAATAATAATAAAAAATTATCTCGTCTTTTTGTTGGGATCACATATCAGTGAGTATCTACTTGGTTTCAATCCTAAGACTTTCAAGTATGGCATTAAGTGTTTATTCTTTAGAGTCATTGTTATGTCCCGATCCATTTATGGATCAATACTATACCTATACTTTTTTACCGTATAATTATTAAATAGCTAAACTATTCATATTCATATCCCTCTTATTATGAGCTTAATTTTGACCTATGAACTATTATTCTACCATTTACTATTCTTGAATTATACCCTGTCTATCAATTATTATCTCCTACATTCACAGCTACATTTGACTAAATCTTGTATAAGTGTTGTTTCCTATTTTATCATATGATGTGGTCTATTTGATTGGTATATAAACTGAGTATATTTGAAATATAATGATTTATATAACAGAGGCTGGTTTTGATGCTCTTGACTTAACAGAGAGGGTTAGGTAGGAAGTAGGACCGATAAAGACTCTAAACTGTTCATATGGATTCTTATGCATCATTGATCCGATCGATATGCCACTGTTCTTTAATTGGCAGTATCATTACATTATATATATTGATAGGAGCACAAGGTAACAATTTCTAACACTAATGATCTAGTATCCAACATTTTTCATATGCAATTTTTGTTTCTTAATCTTTTATTTCAAGAGTGTCCTAATTGGTGATGATCAAGGTACAGTTCATGTGTATACTTTAATAGATTTCCCTTATTCATTATCAACTAAATCAGAACAGGTAAGACATTTTATGTAAAGTACATTCATACATTTTTGTATTTTATAAGATAAATTGTGCAAAATTTGAATTTCTATGTTTTATGGTAAAAGATAATCATCATCAGTTGAATTGAATTTACCTCATTAATTTTGTTTTAGTTATGCAATGAAAGAATGAAGTTGGGATGTTTCATTTACAACACTAAGAAAATCTGTACACTGTGATAATATTATAACTTGTGGCCTATGTGCCCCTGCTAATATATAACGTAATTACACTGCCAATTAGAGAACAGTAATTTATCGACCGGTCCAATGACGCATTAACCTGTACGAGCAGTTTAGAGTCTTTATCGGTTCTACTTTCCGCCTAGCCCTAACTGTTTGAGTCCAGAACACCAATCCGAGCCTCTGCAATATAAATCATTATATTTCAAACATACTAAGTTTATATACCAATCAAACAAACCACACCGTACCATAAAATAGAAAATAACATTTGAACAGGATTTGGCCAAATGTGGCTGTGAATAAGGGAGGTAGTGAATTACAAACAGAGAATAATTCAAGAATGGCAAATCGTATAATAATAGTTCTTACGTCAAACTGAAGCTTATGATAAGAGGGACACGAATATGAATAGTTTAGCTATTTAATAATTATACGATAGAATATGCGTATAGTATTGGTCAACAAATGGATCCCAAAAATTACCACTCATTATTCTTCTCCGGACATAACACCTTTTTAAATAGCTCGGGTTTTTTGAAGGACGAAAGTGTCTTGAAGTTGTCTGGAAGTCTGTTTGACTCATGAATAAAACGTCTTATTGTGTTTTTCCTGTAATCCATCTGGTAGCTTATTCGAAGTGACAGAAAACTTATGTAAAAAGAACTTCCGTTGTATGCCGGATCTATGATGAATTACTTCGGCTAGCCCAGTATGATTTCCTAGTTTAAAATTGGGTATATCGGTAAAGCCTAATATTAGGTTTGAAGAGTGTAATTACTGGTGTACGAGCTCGAAATAATATGTAAGATTAGACCCGAATCTGCAGCCCTAATGTATCACATCGTGCAAAGTAACTCTGTTCACGATACATTTATAAGGTCTTTCTTGTGGAGTACCTCTGTATTCCTTTGATTTTCAAATTGTTGCTTATACAAAGGCTACCGACTATTGACGGAAAATATTCAGGCACTATGCAGACACAGAATTTATATAGTATGCTCCTAACATCACACGTAAAAATTACGAACTATACAACACATAGTTTTACTTGAGTACAATCTGATTGACATGGTTCTAGGACAGTATTGCATTCGTATATTATTATGCCATTCACTTCAAACAGAGGTCTAGGTTGCTGCGTCCGATACTAATCCAGCTGTACATTTTAATAGTAAAAAATGCTGCTACCATCTAAAAAATAGTGTGGCCTTGCTTAATTTCCGATTTATAGAATTACTCGTCCTTTGTACTTCATCTCTGTGAAATGGGTACACTACCTTCAAGTCATCGGCATACAAAAAAGTACATCGGAATATAAGGCCACAAATAACGGTGGTGTGTATCACGGAGGAAAGAGAATATATTACAAACACTAGCAACCATCTTACGTGCTGAAAACTTTGAGTTTACATCTGCAGTGTGGTATCGATCAAAGAATGACCTAAACTTGATGAATAAAGTGTCGCGGATACTAGAAATGGTTGCAGTTTATCACACTCAGTTTGTAGTATCTAGTGATAAATTCTCCTAAAAGATAATCATAACAATTGCTAGTCATCAGAAATATTCCATCTAATTAGGCTTCTCAAAGCTTCGTCAACATCTCCTCCTCAAAACTCTACATCACTAACATTTCATCAACAAACATTCCGCTTGATCATCCATGCATATATGTACATCATAGACTCATATAACATGCAAATGCTGTCAATTTACATACACTATATACTATAAACAAAATCCTCAAGTTGTCTCGTTTCCTCACCCTAACTGTCGGTGAAGCATAGATCTAGTAGCACGATAGATAGTGATTGGTGAATTTTCCGTTTGAATACATTACAGATTAATCAGAAATGATGTGGGGTAGTTGTTGGACAACATACAAATACTACCAACTAAAATTGTACTACTTATTCTTCTCAGTAAGTAGCTTGAAAAACATAACTGTACTTTTTCATTTCAGGCCTCTCAACTCAGTCAATTTCTCAAAACTTGGTTGAATGATCTCCCGTGAAATACCAATACCATGAATCGACGACTTGAATCAACATGTCTCTTACAGAATGTTTTGGCACATTGACATTTCTCAATCATTTTTGTTGTTCAGTAATAAACGTATCTCATTATTATGCAAAATGTTTTCTTCTAATAATGAAAAGAATAAACAAACTATTTCACACTGTTGAACATGGTTTCAGTCATGTTTGCTTGTTTATTGCAACGAATCAGTTTCATTATGAAGATAAGGGGTGTTTCTTTTCAAGAGAACACATATCTAACTGTAGTATTAGGTGGTGTAATTCATATGTGTCCAATATTAGCCATGATACAGTAGTCCCCCAAATACTACAAGAACTACTATTACAACTACTACTACTACTAATAATAATAAGATATTTGGTTACAATAAACAATCTTCACAACAAGATATGCAACATCACTGTTTTACAAGCATTCAAACCGTGAATTCTAAAAACAGACTAAGCAGCTGAAGATGGTGGTTGGTGGTAGCCAACAGACACTCATCAGTAAGGTGTACCTGTAATCTTCAGGGAATTGATGCTCCCCGACCGAATAAATCCCATATCAATTAGCCATACATTCAGAGACGTTAACATTGATCTGTACAGACCGCGACTGACAATCTTCGTCTGACAATCTGAAACTCACACACCATACATTTAAACGATAAACTTTGACCGTAATCTAGCCATTTTTCGGATTATTCATTTCAACAAATAATTGTACGACCTGAAGAGGACTTGTCGTAAAAGAAAATAGTCTTCGTTCATATGTTAGTCTCCTAATACGAAGGGGTTCTTCAAACAGTTATAAATCTATTGAGATTTCTCAAAAATCGATAAAACCTGTCTTTCATATTCATCGGTGATTGTTGATGATGATTGCTGGTTGTTGAATAACACCACTGTTCATTGTCGAACGTACTTTTACTTACGAGTTCTATGGTGATTGTTTCTCATTTCTTTAAAAGAAAGAGAGGGCGAAGTGGAGTAAAACATTGATTCACGATTGGTGATATACACTTTATTAATGCACGTAAGTACACGTGGTTGGCACACATTTCATAAACCACTTAAAATAAACTTAAAACGAGACAATTCAAGATTACAAATGTGTGCTTGGAAAACAAATGACCAACAAGTTTGAACTGGCTTCCGGTCAGTCTGTGATGAACATTCAGTTGGGATGAGTATTAGTTTGCAGTATTCACACGAATGAATAACATTCTACAACTTGTGATATTGATGAGGTAATTACTATTTCTACTGAAGTGTAATCACCTAAAACATGACTCCATCGGATGAAGTTATTGACTAATAGTAGAATCATACTGAAAGATAAACCATTTCACAATTAGGTTTGCAGGAAGCTGATAAATGTCAACTGTCAAACATTCTATGATTGTTTAATTACTTCAAATCTATCTTCATGTATGCACTTTCAGTTATAGATGACGGCATCATTTCTTCACTGTTGATTTCACATTTAAATGTTGAACATCATGAGTTGATGAACTCTTTTCTGATGTTCTAATTTTCATACTTATAAATCTGTCAGACTAGATCCACTTTCATTAGAGAACATACACTTTTTAATTCATTGCTACTTCAGATAATCAAATTTGTTCAATTCTACCACATTGTCAACGAGAAAAATGAAATCAGTCTGAAATTGTCGAGATATTCGATTATGTAAGATGACTGACATTGAATACAGTTCAGTCTCATGAATGAATTACAAACAAGATGTTATTACAACACTGTTTTAGTCCATCCACTATTGACAATGTGGTAGAGTATCAGTGTGTAAAGATATTTCATCCTTCCGATTAATGTGAAGGAAAATATACGCTAAGCTAGAGAGAATTTTATCTTGACTTCCCACCTATGATTATAGTCAATGGTAATACACACTCGCAAACACAACGACAACACTGAAAACAGAAGATAAAAACAATTAACCGACAATTTGAACGATTGTCATTCGAAAGTATACACTGTACTATCACATACACAAATGTGAATGATTCACATCAGATCAGTGACAGTAACATATGATATGTTAACAAAATGTTGACAATATGCTTTCAGTGTATACTACAATACACATTGCATATTGTAAACCATTCATCAGCTAGGATTTCTCTCCAACTTAAACGGTAACCCAATATTAAGGAAGATGACGGATCAACTTCATCTTATACTAGGCTGTAAATTTACATACTCATTCAACTAAAGATAACATAAGTTGACAGTGACATAATTTAGAACTATCTCCATTATAATGTGGATTGACACATGATTGTTTCACGATTCATTGAGTATTGACAAATGATGATATCCATGACTTGTCCTACTTACTTTCAGTACTGACTAATCACATTATCAAGTAGATGATGGGCAATGACACGTTCATTGATCTATCATTGTATGTTCTGGTATCTAGAGGCCCTACATGTGACTTGGGATATCAGGATATCAAGAAGAAGAAGAAGAAGTTGTCATCCAATAATAATAATAATAATAATAATAATAATAATAACTATTAGATACCACTGGGTGGGTTCATCTTGTGGTGACCATATCTAAAGATTGTATTAGAAAAAAGATTACCACGATAATGACCGTTACTATAGATCAATATGGAGTAGGGTGAGTTGTAAGAATCTGAGCATAGAAACCAATCACAACGAGTCCATACAATCGATCGTAGTACAGAAAAAAGATTGACTGCCGACGATGTTTAAAGGAGACGTGTATCTCACAACACTGCTGGTTCTACAACGTTGAACCATTCCTATTGCATCGAAGAGTGGACTAATCGTTTTACACTTCAGACAATCATTTGAATCAATCATTTAATTCCTCCACAATTATTGTCTTTCTTTATTATGCATTGACATTTAAAAACCAATTTTTCTCACTTGAAGTATCCACACTGTGTTAAGTACTAAATAAATAGATAAAATCCGTGAAATAAGTGAACTCACATTATTCTGCTATAATTGACATTATTTGCCTGTTTAAAGATACTCGTCGTGCAGTTCTGTCCTTTACCACGCAACTTTCAAAGCACACAGTCTTGTCTGTACACAAAAACCAACATCAAAGACAACATGAAATCAACCACACACAACATATGCACGTATCTTTATAATCTTTGGACGTCAGCCAGATGTAGCCGACTGTCCAGTGGTCAAATATTATGTCCCCGGAATGTCTTGATCGCCATTCCGCCCGGCAGGTAAACCGGTCACCACTTGGTGGGAACCCTTTTTATGATGAACAACATAACAAGAACGAGCCTGGTATATTTTTCATACATTATACTAAATTCACATTTTTATTATCATGAAATCCCTTCACATTCACATCAGAATAAGTTTAAAAAATATTAAGTACATCTTTATTCTGACCAAAAAATTGCAAGGAAAACTACTTGTCTTTCAATCCAAAGTCGAATTATTGACTTATATTATTAATAATTATAAATATACTACTTATATAAATAATAACCTTATCAGTAGTGTAGTGAGCGACTTGTGGTCTTTTCATGCATTCAGATTACTTCCTCGAAATGGTTGTCTACCTTCATCCTGTTGATGGTCTTAAAATAGTTTTAGTATTTCTTTCAAAAATATCTAGTTTTATTATGTAACCCAATTACGAATACATGTTTATACAACTATCCGCTGGCCACATAATATTTGTGTGAGGGATATTCAAAATACTCATCTGCCTAGAGTGAAGCTGATAGAGTTATTTTTTAATGTACGATCTAATGATCAGAAATCAAACATTGGTGTCAAGTGTGTATATTGATTGCAAATAACTAGTACTATCGTTTCCAGGTTTTCGGCAGCTGAAGAGGAACAGCAGAATAAATGGATACATCCTATTCTACTACCGTTTTCATTCTTGCTTTCGCCAAACATAGGAAGGTGTGTAGACGTCTTACGATCTTCTACCTTAAAGTTCCATTTCTGGATATTTCTGTTCTAAGAACCTACTACAGTTAGATACAATCTGTCTATCCAGCCCAGTTTTAACTGTTTTCTCCGGTTGTGTTTTCGTCCTCTGAAAACAGTCTCATCAATTTCAACATTTTTGAGATATTCAATCATACTATCGACATTAAAAGTTTCTGTGGTGGAACAAGAATATATCAATTGCAAACATGATGACAATAGATGGCTGTAAAGTAATAAAAGTATTAAAAAGAGAAAATTATGAGGCATTAATACCATGGTAGAACAATAGGTTAAACTAATTTCTTTTGGGTATACAATTCAGGTTTTCCCAGATGTATAGCTATTGATTCGGCAGTGCCTTTAACAAACTTCTACTTAACTTGGCTCTCAATTTGAGCTCAGAATCCGCATTGACTGTGTGATCCGTGTTCAAAAGTTGCTATAATGTTGAACTTCTTATCAAGTCGTCCCCATCTCTATTTAGCCAAGCCTGAGTTCGGAGTGAGACTAAGCACCTCGGGTAGGTAGATGAAGATTATTCTATCATCATTTTTGCAATTAATATATTCTTGTTCCACCACAGAAACTTTTAATGTCGATAGTATGATTGAATGTCTCAAAAATGTTGAAATTGATGAGACTGTTTTCAGAGGACGAAAACACAACCGGAGAAAACAGTTAAAACTGGGCTGGATAGACAGATTGTATCTAACTGTAGTAGGTTCTTAGAACAGAAATATCCAGAAATGGAACTTTAAGGTAGAAGATCGTAAGACTTCTACACACCTTCTTATGTTTGGCGAAAGCAAGAATGAAAACGGTAGTAGAATAGGATGTATCCATTTATTCTGCTGTTCCTCTTCAGCTGCCGAAAACCTGGAAACGATAGTACTAGTTATTTGCAATCAATATACACACTTGACACCAATGTTTGATTTCTGATCATTAGATCGTACATTAAAAAAAAACTCTATCAGCTTCACTCTAGGCAGATGAGTATTTTGAATATCCCTCACACAAATATTATGTGGCCAGCAGATAGTTGTATAAACATGTATTCGTAATTGGGTTACATAATAAAACTAGATATTTTTGAAAGAAATACTAAAACTATTTTAAGACCATCAACAGGATGAAGGTAGACAACCATTTCGAGGAAGTAATCTGAATGCATGAAAAGACCACAAGTCACT